GGGTCCTCCGGAGGACCCGGCCTGTCGTTTTGGACACAGCCTAAGTTTCCATTCTCAGCAGGTTTCTAAGGTTCTTCTTCTACATATTAAAAAGTTGTTAAACATCTGAGTGGTGCACTACTGCTACTAGTGGTGAGAAAGTTTATTGCACCTTATTCACAATCAATGCTATCCCGTCGCCCACTGCAACCCAAAGTTTAAAACTGTTGTTCTTCTGAGGCCCTCCGCGGCCCATGGGTTAAGAATCTCTGGTGTAGATGACATGAAGCTATGTCCCGATGTTAGCTAACAGCTACTACTGGCATCATCGACCTCGTCTTTCCCAAAGACACACACAAACACAAAAACATAAATGTCAACATTTCTGGAAGTAAAATGTTCCTAAGCCCATCAGAATTGTAATAATTTTATGAAAGTATTGTGATTAGTTTTTCTTTCCCCTTATACTAAACATAAAATTCACTGGGTGCTAGTTTGTTTGTAACCTTTAGAGCTGAACTGGAGGGTTTCATACAGGTGCAGTCATTTTAAATAAATGATAAACAAAAATAAATAAACAACCTCAAATAACTCTGTTAGCATATTTTTTATTAAAACAAACCAGGGATTTTTGTAGCCCCTGGAGACTAATCTCCTTGTCGTTTAATCCTGCAAATKACAATAAAACTTCCTTGAATCCCTGAATGAATGAATTTCTGCTTCTCGTTTATATACACACACTTTTACAGAAACTTGTGGATAGAAAGAGGGCGTCGACACTAAATGTACTAAATTTAAATGTACGTAAAGCTGCGGACGTACCGGGACCAGAAATTGTGAAAATGACACACAACAGCAGTTAAAGCTGTAACATTAGCTGACACAATTTATTCTGTTTGTCTTCCTCATACGCACGCTGTTTACTAAATTTACGAAGCGTACAAAAAAAGAGTTGCACATTAAGAGTTTAAGTAACAGATTAATGTTCTCTGGATTATTTCTTCAACAAATTCACTTTATATATTATAATTATATATTTCATAGCATGCATTTTAAGTCTGCTGTGCGTACAGAATGATAAATTTAAATGTAATTTATGTTCTGACAGATTTTCATTCTTCTGATTGATGAGTGGAGCCGTCATGTCGGCTCTGTTTTACATCTGTCTTCTTCTCTCCGACCTGTTTCCTCCCAGCAGTTTGCCTTCACTTATCTGAGTGTTTCTCTCAGCAGGATTGTGAATTATTAAGGTTATTCTTGTTGGAGCAACCCCCCCACTTCTCTCTCACCATCCTCCCATTTTTCACTTCCTCTCCCTCTCTGTTTCTGTCATTCACAGCCAGCAGTTCAAAACGTTTAATCCTAAGTGATTAGTTTGTATTTTGCCTACAGGGACACTAAACGTTTTTACTCCTGCTTTATTGCAACAGAAAATTCAGATTTGTAATTTTTTTAGTTTAAACATCTTTACAAAACTAATTAATTCACCTTTTAAGACATCTATTTCTTATATTTTTCAACCAGTTCAGTTTTTTTTTCCTGTCTGAGGATTTCAGGTGTTGTGTGTTGTAAAACTACAAGTCCCAGCATGCATCAGTCCTGGCAGAAGGAATTCATTGACTTTCAGCCCTTTTGCCTAAATAATCCAATTGTTCTGCTCCTAAAAGTGGTTTGTTGTAGTTTTTTAATGAGTTGGATTGAACCTAAATTTGATTGAAAGACAAAAATGGTGGACTGGCTTGTTTTTTATAATTTAAGTAGGTCTAAATTAAACAGGTCTTATTGTTGTATGAATGCTATATACACAATTGAGATCATTTTTTCTTCCGTACGTTTTTCGGCACCTTTCTTGTTCCACAATTTTTGTGCTACTTCAACCATTCATATATCAAAACGTTCAGCTCTTTCGTGCTATGACGGCTATGACTTTTGGTATTTCAGCTATTTATACTTTTTTAGCTATTTCAGCTTTTTAGCCACTTTTTTCCCATTGAATTTGAATGGGGCTATTTTCAACAACCTTAGAATCCTTCAAATAGTTTGTAAATCTTTACAAAACCTTACACAATTTGTTCTGGTTAAGCTCTATTTTACTGTCTTGTGCAAATTTTAGCTACGTTTTTGCTAACTTTAGCTGTTTTCTGCTATTTCAGCTATAGTTCTGGTTCTTTTTGCTATTCTTCTACGTTTTTCTGATTTATTTGTGCTTTTTTTCTGCTAATTTGTACTAATTATGCTTCTTACAGTTGCTTTCTGCAGTATTCAGCTGTTTTCTACAAATTTTCCAAAAAAAATTTAATGTTTCTAAATCTTTACAGAAACTGACACATTATATTCTGGTT